AAGCTGGCAGCTCCTCTGAGGGGTCTCAGAGCTGATATGGAGGTAAACAAGGCAGCTTGCTGCTCCAACCAGAGCATGTTAACTGTTTAAACATTGCGCTTGTACATAAAATTCCTTTGAAAATGCCTTGCTACTTTTTTTTTAAAGAACTTGTTTAAGAGAATCGATGCAATAAGACCTTATAATACTTTCCTTCATAATTTAAAAAATTCCTGTAAAGTGAAACTGATCTGTTTTTAAAAACAACAATAAGCTGGGCATGGTGGCACATGCCTATGATCCCAGCACTTGGGAGGCAAAGGCAGGCGGATCTCTGTGAGTCTAAGGCCAGCCTGGTCTACAAAGCTAATTACAGACTCACAGCTGTTTTACCTCAAACTTCTCAGTCTGATACAAGTCAGATAGGGGTCCTTCAGCCGCCACATCTTCTGTCCCTTCATTCTGGGGAGTATGAAAAGGGGAGAACTTCCATTCTGTGGTTGCCAATAGGTTATTTCTACTGAATGTCCCATAGGTAAAGATTAGTAAAAGTCATGGGAGCAAAGAGAGCACCAAATCTCTATAGCCTTTCGAAATGTTCACAGCAAAGCTTCTCTATAGAGGAGAAGGTGGAAGATAGGTTTTTACAATTGTGATTCTATTTGTTCACTAATTTGAACATTATGAACGAGCCTAAATGCCAGGCACTATGATGAGTACCTGCCAGTACCAAAAATGGGCCAAGATTTTCCTTACTGAAGGGAAAATACATTTAATAAATAGACACAAGATGTGAAGTTCTGAAAACACTGTACAACAGCTTATTTAGATGGGACTTATTTTACACATCTTTGTAGCCCCAGCTCTTATCACAAGGCTCAGCAGATAGTTAAAAGCTTGATACCTTTTCTGAATAAATATTTTCATCCCCATGATTTCTTTCAACTGGTTCCAGATTCAGTTTGTTTGTATGTATCTAGTCAGCCCCTCATCAGGTATTAACATATGCAGATATATAACATGTAATATCAAAACCTACTCTTAGACATACAAAAAAATCAACCATTATCCTTTCACAGCAACAGAAAAACACAGTGGATGATAAATAAGCCTGTAACTTAAGGAACAAGCACATTGAGACTTAATTATGCTTGCTTAAATTCATTTACAGCTGTTCTCAATCTAAAAGCAGGCAAGCCTGCCCCCTAGTGCCAAAATGATCAAATTGAATCAGAAGGCATTTCCCAACTACCAGAACAGAACTAGAATATATTCTTAAAATACAAAACTGTATTATTCAAAGCAAAAAGCTTCATTATAAGACTAAAACGACATACATCTTTCAATTTACAATTTGATTATATATATATTTGGTAACTATTATTAAACTTGCTTTAAAAAAAAATCTCAGCGCTTCTGAAACAGGGTGGTTGTATACTTGGCAGAAAATGCTAACACTGCTACTTGAAAAATCACACAAAAGGCTCTAAAACTTTACCAATCCTGTCAATTCAGTTCTACTACCTGGTTACACCTATTTCTATGTGGTTTCACCCATGTCCTCCTTTAAAATAGGTATATATACTATGACTTTCAAATATATTTGTCTCCAGCCAGATTTCTTTGGGGTCCAGGTTCAAATGCCCAAATGCTTACTGCACCATCCCTTGGGAAACTGAACAGGCATGTGTACCATAGCACTCCCCAAACCGAACTTTCAGCCTTCCCCCCTCTAACATGCTCCTTTGAGTCCTTCCTATCGCAGTAACTAGTTACTTTATTCACAGGGTCCCTCAGGACAAAACCCTTGGAATCACTTTTTTCTCACATCTCACCTTGTCCATCAACATATACTGCACATCAAAATGTATTTGGGATCTGATTTCTATTGACTTCATCTTCAAAAAAGACTCTAATGTCTCATGTGAATAGGACAGACACAATTAGTAACCCCAATTTCTCACTTCACTTTATAATGCTCACAAATATTCTTCTTGCTCACAAATATTCTTCAGTTACATTCATCCTGTTGGTCAAAGCCAAGCACACTACCGGCCACGGTCTGAGCACACTCTATCCTTTCCATCTCAAATGCTCTGTGTGCAAACACCTAATGTTCTCATTTGCTTCCTCAGGTCTCAGTTACAGACAGCACTTAATATAGTCTATTTAAAATAGCAACTCTAGCTGGAGAGAAGGCTCAAGAGAGCGTGGAAAAGTACTTGCAGCCAAGCCAAAGGACCTGTGTTTGATCCCCGAGACTCATGTTAAGAGAGAACCAATTCTCTCACAAGCTATCCTCTCACCTCCACACTTGTGCCATGGCACATGTGTGCACACACACATACTAACACAAATTTAAAACAGCAACTCCCTACTTACACTCCCACACCCTTCAACTTTTCCCCAAATAGTGTCAACTTGTGTTATTACCAATTAAAAGGAAAACACCACACAGAGCACAGAACCGTGTACTGCACTCTCTGCACTCTGCGGGATACTCAGGCCTCAACCACTTCCCCATGTGCAGCAGACAGCAGAGACTGGCTGCATTAATCATCTAGTCATAAAAAAAACATGGTAGGGCTAGGTGCGAATGGTGCACAACTTTAGTCCCAGCGCTTGGGAGACAGAGGCAGGCAATCTCTGTTGAGTTCAAGGCTAGCCTAGTCTACACTAAGCAAGTTCCATGGTAGCCAAAGCTACACACATGGCAGACTAAAAAGGAAATACTACTTATAGAGGATGGTAACCTTGCCAGGTGAAAAAAACTTTACCACCACTCCAGGGAATTGAACCCAGGATCACATGCATCCTGGTCAAACACTCTGCCATTGACCTATTGCCCCCAGTGGTTTAAAAAAAAAAAAAAAAGAACTACTGAATCACTTTTCATTCGTTTCATATACCAAGACAGACTATTTTTTACTTTTTTGACAGGGTCTCACTATGTCACCCCGCTTGCCTGGAATTCACTACGTAGACCAGGCCAGCCTTGAACTCACAAAGACTCACCTGCCTAGGCCTCCTGATGGCAGGGATTAAAGTCGTGCACCACCATACGCAGGCTGAAGGTGACAAGCGGTCAAGTAACTTGTGTACAAGTGACGTGATGGTATGAGACGAGGAAAACCCTGAGGTTCTCAGGTACCACTTCATTCAACTTTCAATACTCAGAGCAGTTTTAAGAAATACAAATCCAAAACAGGCGAGGTTTCTACATTTGTTGATAAAAGTAACTATGAGTTTGCCGTAAGTAATTTCATTTGCATCGAACAGTGTTAGTAGTCTACTTAATAACTGGTAAATTAGTAATACTAAGTTTCAAATGACAAGCTATTCAAAGTATTTTTTTTTCTTTCATGGTTGCAGCAATCATATGAAAGCATCATTTCTTTTGAAAGTACACTGAAGAGCTTTCATCTGCGTCTATTTTCTACATAAAAAATAAGTTCATCCTTAATTCTACACACACATGCATGCACACACAGTGCTTTACTGTTTTGAAGTCTATAACTGCATATAGTTATTATACATGCAGTTACTTGGGGCTGGGGACATGGCTTAGTGGTTAAGATCACTGGCTGCTCTTGCAGAGGACCCTGGTTCGGTTCCTAGCACCCACATGGTGGCTAACAACTACCTGTAGCTCCAGTTCAAGGGGATCTGATGCCCTCTTCTGACCATGGGCATTGCATGACACAAACACACTTAAATGCATGGAGGCAATACACTCATACACATAAAATAAAAATAATAATATTTAAAATATATATGTAGTATACTTATTAGCTTTTTAAGAATTCATTATTTTAATTTTAAGCTCGAACTGTAAGAAAAAGCTCATTAATACTTTTGAGCTGATGAAGTTAAAAAACAATCACTGCTTCAAAATTTTTTAATTTTGGAGAAAGCAAAGCAGATTTTAATGAAATGGTTTGCAATAAGTTTGAACTACAAATTTATAACATAAACATAACAAAAATCCAACAAAACAGGTATTGTAACACAAGATTCACCACTCATGTTAAAATTTAACCCTAGAGAATTACTGGACACATACTTTAAAGAATATTTAACACTTGTTAATCCCATGTAAAACTGAATTGCATTACAAAATGTTTTAAACGCTTCAGAGCACACATTAGTAAATCATCTGATAAGTTGTAAAAAAGGTATGTTCATAATCAGGAGCAGGAGTTAAGGAAATATGATCTGCACTTACAGAACACAGAAGACGACTGTAAGGCATCACAGCAGGTGATGACCAGTTACTAAGATGTGTGTTTGGGAAAAAGCAAATAAACTGTGCTCCAGGGACATTCATTAGCAATCTCAACAGTTAACCATTCTTGACAACGCACGCAAAGTTTAGGGGAGAAAGCCATCTTTCTACCATCCAGAAAAGCTTACCATGAAAGTTTCACTGCTTGTTGGGCCTCTGATTCACTAAGAGACAGATCCTTCAGCAACTTGTCTGATTGGTACCATGTAATAAAACCACACAAGAAATAAAGAGTCACAGAATTTGGTAATTCAGGTTAGTCTTCTTTTCAGAGGAAAGTAATGAGATTTGCTGTTATTTCTCTTCCTCCTGAAGAGAAAATGATCTCTTTGAAATGTTCTCTTGTGGTGTTTCCCAGTACCTTACAAGAAATGACACTTCCTCAAGAAGGGAGAATTCCTCTTTAACTCTTTAAGAAATTTTTTTTTCCTTCAGCAATAGGATTTTTTGGTTTTTGTTGTTTTTTTGCCTTTTCTCTTATTTTAAAAAACATTTAAATTACCTATTAAAATGCCCCATCTTATTTGCTGCTTTAGACATTTGAGAAACACGAGAACTTTATTATAAAACTTTAGGCTATAGGAGCCTTAAAAGACAGAATTTTTATTCAATTATAAATTACTATCCTAACAATATTAGAAAAACAAAACACTTAAACAAGCAGTCTTAATACTTATTCCTGAAAAACAAAGCATATAGAAATTCAAATCAATCCTTTCATATTTTTTCCATTAACAATTACGAGAAAGAGTGTTCTGCTGAAGAAACAGTTCACAGTGAAATGTCCATTAGCAAAATAGTTTACGTGTCCTGACTGAGTCTTGAACACTAGCTATCCAAAATGCTGCTCTAGCTCCACCACGCACTCACCCAAAGTGATGGCACTCAGTACTGTCCAAGGTTTGGTTTGCTAGGTGAAAAGTCATTTGCACTTAGGAGATAAACTTCTCAGGGTCACTCTAACACCCTCATGGGATGTCCTCAAATTTCCATTCCATTAAAAAGTAATCTAACTGAAAAAAAAAATCAATAAAGCCTATATATTCATTTTACATAAAAATAATATTGTCAAAAAGCTACTAAGTGAGGCCAAGTATTGGAGCACATGCTTGTGATCCAGGCACTCAGGAGGAAGAGACAAGATGATTTTGAGGCCAGCCTGGGCTACATAATGAGTTTAAAACCAGCCTACAATACAGGAGGAGACTCTGCCTCAACCCCCGCCCCAAAGTGTTATAGCAAGAATTCTATCAGCAGTCTTTAAAAAAAAAGGACATCTTTGGACTGTAAGAGATACCCATGGAACACTGATTCAGACGGGCACACAAGACACCATCTTCTTTGCCACAGACTGCACCCAAATCCCTGGCAATACCTTACTAAAAATGACTGACTCCAGAAGGTTGTGGGAGACAAGGTCACCATCCTCCCATAGTTAAGAAAGTGGTGCCTGGCCCTACTTTATATTTGTATACTATTCTATAAGAAGCTAGTCAACTCCACATTACAAAGCACCACAGGGCATTTCATTCTACATAATGCAATAAAACTGAAATTTTTATGACAGAATTCCTGGGAAGGCACTTCAGTCAAAAGAAGAAGCACAACACTTTTATACTGCAGGCTCCATTACTGTTCTGACCACGTTTCCCAATAAATGGAATGTTGTTGAAATATAACTAAGAAAGGAAACACAGTCCTCACCCTGAGAGATGAACTGAGTAAATCTGCCTTTAAAGTAGGTGAATGCTGAAACTTTAAGGGAAGAGAAGTACATGAAGCAAGAGAGTAACATCACCAGGGTAGGACTGGACTCCTGATTTTAAGAACGGAATGAAAGTAAATTTAAATTTCATGTTCAGATAAAAAAAAAACATTTAAGATGTTTTTTGAGAAATAAAGGAAATTATGGTTACATACACTGTTGTTGTTTATGGTTATATACTTTGTCATCTATGAGATTTGTGTACTCTTTATTTTATTCAAATAATAAAGGTGACAAAGTATTGTTAGCTCAGGTTATGCATTGGCAATTTATAAGATTCAACTTAAATTGATTTAGAAGTTAAACAAAAAAGACAGCATTCTCCAAGTTTAGAAGTTGTACCTTGGAGAGATAAAATTATGAATTTAAAGATCTAGAGCTCAGTGGTAGGAGCACTTGCTTAGCATGTATGGGGCCCTAAGTTAAATCTCTAGTACTACACACACTCATCTGTGATGTATTAACACTGTTGGTATGTTAAATTCTAATAATGCAATGATTCTCACTCATACCTAAGAGGAATAATTTAAGAAATTTATGTTTAGGACAAAAGTTCTTTCTCACTGCTCTATAAAGTTATACAGAGTAATTTTATTAAGACGGTAAGTCAAATATTGGCAATCATTTTCTGTTTGTTCATTAACCAGAAAGCAAACTTAAAACTTCAAAATGATATTCTCCCTTAAGTAATCAGTACTAAGAATCACTCATTAAACAAATTTACCATTAAACAACAACAACAACAAAAAAAAAAAATCAACCGTTACTTTAGATCCCAGCAGGAATTTCCTTATGATGGAAAAACAACTTATGTGCCTCTTCCCACTCAAAAATTTCTGAGGTTGTAACTTTACATTTTTGTTGAAATGTAAAGAAAGGCATGACCAGGAAGGTGGGACTGAGTGTGAATAAAGTTTCCATACAGTTAGAACACTGGATGATTTCAAAGGGAATGCACAAATAAGCCTGATGCTGCTCTAACGTGGGCCTTTTATAGACATCAGGAAAGGCTGACGTTCCCTTTCTGCTAGGAGCCCAAAGCTGTGATAAACAGCCAGTTTGTGACTATCAATGTGAACTGCCTCACTGGGGCCAGGGTAGAATCTCCAATATGCCATGGCACCGTCACTGGGGAAGCAAGGGGAGTGGAGGGAGTTAAATGGTCTCCTCAGGTACACAGTTACACCACGTTCCCTCAAGATCCCCTACTGTCTTCTCCGATGTGTAACAAATACCGCAGCTAAAAGTTTTTTTAAGGCAAACAAAATGCTCTCAACAAAACTCTATATACCATGACAGCTTAAAAAAAAAACAAAAAACCTAAGTGTGCAATTACTGACAATAATAATGAGAGAGACTACACCTCTAACATTGGTCTCAAGCCTTTCAGAAGGATGTCTGACTTTGCAATTACTAATCTATTAACCTTTCTCTTGAAAATATGAACTTCTTATAGAAATATAGAAAACTTAAAATTCACAGTAAGGTTATATGTAATGCTCATCTATGCTTACTGAAAATACTACTTAAATGATTAGGCAATAAGACAGCTGGGCACAATTTATCCAACCTTAAACTCTTTAGCTAAGGTTTGTGCAAAAAACCTTTGCAGTTCTCATAGAAACCCAATGCTGGAGCACATCCAACATTCTATTAGCTGCTACCACAAAATCATTGTCCCAGAAGTCAAGGTTAATGATTATTCTTGCTAATCATGCAAAGATGAATATCAGGAGCCACAACATTGGCAGGCTACACTGCCAAATAGTCCTTAAATCCTTACTCTATAAACTTACAGTGATTTAGAACCTCAAAAGTGCAAGAAATCAAATTTACCAAAATAAATACCACTCTGACACTCAAGGGACATCTTCACTTTAAGGCCTTTGTCACAAATCTGAATCTTTATTGTTCTGAAATAAATGTTAAAAACATAACTTGAAACAAAAATGTCAATTCAATATTCAGTCTCAGAAGATGTGTGGCTCAGTGCCCATCACATATAACAAGAAAACTTCCTTTAAAAAAAAGGAGAAAAAGTACTATGAGAAGTCTTTCATGAGTGAAGATGCACCCTGTGTGCTCTGCCCTTGTTCAATCGCACACGTGGGAACCAGAAAGCCCGCGTCTTCGTCACGACAGGCCGTTGCTATGACGTTTGACGGACTTTTTGCCATTCAACAAATTCGTCAAGAAGAACAGGCCCTGCGGGGGGAAAAGAAGTGATTTTGTTAGAATTCAATGGACTCATCTCTCCAACAAGCTCTGAGGTGGCAGGGCCTGCCTGACCAGTCCTTCCAGGTGCTTTCTGGGTCTCTTCCTTTTTCCTAAGTGACTGTCCACAGTAGGAATTCAGAGTCCTTTCCCTCTCAAGGAGTGTTTTTCATGGGCTTTCTGGAAGCAGAGTCAGCACTAGCCTCACCCACAGCATTCTGGCATTTAATTATCAAATACTTTGAAAATATTTGTTACCTCAAGAAGCATGAGTGCTTGTTAAGAGGGACTGGCCACACTGGACATGTACTTTATTCTAAAAACACAACACAGTCAAAGGAGCACATAGCAAATGCCTAATATCTATTATTCTCAAGAAAACCTGTTTTTATAGTGTAGAGGCTACAAACATGGGCCATCAGAAGCCAGGTACAGTTAAAAAGTATTTGTTTTGTTAAGATGTAAAGAAAGGCATGATCATGAAGAAATGTGCTTGGCCTATTTTCCTGAATGCACAAAGCCTCTGGATGCTCTTTTTTCTCTTGCTTTAGCAGACCACATAAAAGCCAGCTGGGCAAGCCAACAATAAATGACAGCTAAGGAACAGCCTGAATATTGTAATAGTGGATGGACCATCAGCATTACGTCACTACTTGGCTCCAACCTCTGAATCCTACAAAGAAATATAGGTGCAATTTGTCAGATTTTCTGATTTATCAAACAAATTTACAAATTTATTTTTGTATCAACTCTCTCAGTTTTAAATGTTGACTCAGGGCTGGAGAGATGGCCCAGCAGTTAAGAGCACTGACTGCTTTTGCAGAGGACTTGGGTTCAATTCCCAGCACCCACATGGCGGCTACAAACCATCCTTAACTCCAGTTCCAGGGGAATCCGAAGCCCTCTTCTGACCTCCGCGGCATTGCACAACACAGGTGTACTCACGTACATGCAGGCAATACACTCATACACATTAAATGTTGATTCAACATTCACAGATACACACACCCCTGTGCTGTCAGCTCACTGTTGCAAGTTATTATTTCTTCAAAACAGCATTAAATGTTCTGCCTTCCTTTAGGGAAGAACATAATACACAGGGAGACAGGGTTATCTCTTCTTCAGTACCTTGTTTCTTCTGTGTCAAGGCAAGTGTGATCTTTTCATGTACATTTCCGTTATGAAGGAATGCACCTTTCCATATAACCTATCTAGACAACATCGAAAATGAGGTGCAAACTGAAAATCTATAGGTCTAGAGAATTAATTTGGCTTATCTGTTTTGCTCTTATACTTTTAAACCCATGACTGAAATTTTCTTCTTCAACAAAGGAAGGAGGAAAATAGGATTTTGGCTTCTAGGTGTAGAAATTATAATTTAGCTGTAATGTTTAGTTACAGAGGAACAAAAATATTTTATTTACTACCACAGATTTTATAACATTGCTGAACCTAAAACTCGACTTCTTCCACATCCTGATTAAAATGAGTTACTCTTACAATACCTAAAACCTTTATACTAATGCTACAGAAATGAATATGCTAATCTTTTTAGGAATCTCATTTTTATAGGAATGCATGATATACTTACAAGCACCGTCTTCATCGTAGTTACTAAGATCGGCATGAACTGTTCTGCTGAATTCTAATACATTGTACCACTGATCTTTGTTCATAACACGATACTTTGATTGCTGTGGAAAACGATATAAACATTTGGACTACAGAACCATTACTTATTGGGTCTTGATTTTAGTGAATCTAGTTATAAATTTTTTTATTTGTTTTTTCTAGAACATTTCTTCCTCTACTAAACTACTCAATTTTCTAGAGAATCATCTGTTATCTATTCTTTCCATATCTTTCTTTTGTGTCTGAAACAAAGGTCCTAAGACTAAAACTCACTGAATTTTTACATATATTCATGTCACTGTCAAAGAAATATAACATAGATCTTTTCCTACATTGAGTAAGTTCCTTTGTGTTGATTCTACAACAAAATTTCTTTGTATGAGCTACATTTTGAAGGGGGTATCTACGGAAGTAGAGAAACCACTATCAGTTCAGGTTCAAATCCCAATGTGGACACTTAACTTGGGAAATTCACTCAAGAACACAGCCAAGGCTGTGGCTCGGTGGGAGAGCTTGCCTGCATGTATTCAGGGCTGCTTCCCCAATCGTGTCACAAACTGTGATCCCAACACTTGAGGGCAGACATGAGGACTATATGAGTTTGAGACTGGCCTGGGTTATGGAGCGACATCCCCCTCCAAAACAGAAAGCTAAACAAAATAAACAAACAAACAGAAAATGCCAAACCTACCCTGGCCCCCCTTTCCTCAGCTGCTACATGGGGATAAAATGGGTTTGAAAATATTCAATTGTTATTAGCACCTCACAGACATGGGTATTATTTTTTTATTTAGCTAAATTTATGCCCAAAACTAACAGTAAAAAGATACATCTCGTTTATCAAAAATATATACTTTATTGGGCTCATCAAAGTTTTAGCTATGCATAAAATTTATTTACAAAAGCTTTAAAGAAAATTATTCTGGGAAATTTGCTATAACAAGAAACCAGCTTGATGAAAAATTGTTTTTAAAGGAAAGAGCATCTCTTTTCAAGAAATGGTAAAAACTATACCAACAAAACTAAAGTTAAAAGTACAAAACTAAATATAAACTAGACCAAAACATGGACAAAAAGAAACAGCATGTTCTAAAGAGTCGCTGACCCCAGAAGTACTCTAAAACTTCTAAGAGTATTTCTGTCCTACCTTCAGCTGTGTTTAGTCAGCAGTATCGTTAAGGACATGATTATATATCCAGACTCTATGTATGGACATAAAATATTAAAACTTTACTCTATTTCTCAATGAGTCTAATCAGAAAATAAATGTTTTATTACTAAAATAGGTTCTTCTGTAAAAAACGGCCTAAAGCCTGAGGGTGGGGGTGGGACTGGGGACTGGTTTAGAAGGTTGAGATTCATGTGCTAGCATCAATTCTCTCTTGCCAAAAGCATAAAAGACCAATTTCCCATGAAAAAATGTCTATGCTAAAATATTTTTCTTGGACATCTTCTCTCTCTGAGGTGGAAAGAAGTGAAATGAAAATACCTTAAAAATTTTTTTAAAATGTGGTATAGAGGATCAAACCCAAAGCATAATACATGCTAAGCATGTATTCTACCACCAAGTTATACCCTGGCTCCCAAGAATCTTCTGTACACAAACACGTCAGTTTTAACTGACACGGTTATGTACATACTTTAGTAGATTCTTATAATACTCATGAAAATTGTCTAAAATACAGTATTAAAAGCTCATTTATTCCTCAAAAGGTATTTTCAATCCAGTTTTTAAAATACTTTAAAAAAATACCTATACATACCTCCAAGTATTGGTAAAATACTGAAAAGAGTGGCCACGTCCTCCCAAGCAGAAGAGCTAACATGGACTTAGCAGTATCAATATCAAGGCTTCTCTGATCTTTATCCTAAAATATAAGCAAAAACAACTGTCCTAAGTATGGCCATAAGATGGAAAAGAAACTTAAAATATCTAAGATGGAAACTGCACCTACCCTTGCAAAATCAAAGGCATATCTGTATATATTCTTAAACGATGAAATATCATTCAACTGTGAGCGCAAAAAGTCAAATTTGTTCTGTAACTTTTCTGTGCAGTCACACCTTAAATCAAAAAAAAAAAAAATCAAGAAAATTAAAAGATTTTAGGAAGTTAGAAGGAAAGCATTGTTAGAGTATACTTACAAAAGTAATTTAGGTTTAAAATTCTGTTTCACAAATTTATACTAACATGTTTTGTAACTACCAGTGCAATTTAACATAGCAGAAAAAGAAAACCTGGCAACCAACCAAAGTTCACACCAGTACCAGTAACTTTTCTTAAAAACACACCAAAACGCCTCAACCAAAACCTCCAATTAAATCACAAACATTTCAGAACGCTGCCCAGCAGATGTGAGACCCCATGTTTGATTCTATTTCCCTAGTTCCCATCCACCACCACCACCACTGCTCCCTCCTCCCCCAAAAGGCTGAGCAAATGACGTTAATCAGGCCATTGGTACACATTTCTTTAGAAAGTTCTTTGGGATCAGTTTGGTGGAAAGAGATTAGCCATGAGTAGTTTTAGAAGTCTGGGATACCAGAGAGGAAATTAATGCATTAAGTCATTAAGTGACCTAGTCATGAACCCAAATTACCACATTTTTAGTCAGCAAAGTCAAGATTAATCATCAAAGTACCTAACTTCAAGTAAGGTGTATATGCAAAAGCATGCAAACAAGTTATACATGTTATGTATAAAGACAAGTCAGTAAACATAAACAAGTAAATCAACGGAAGGCTCAGAAGTCTTGATGGCTCTCTAACACTGGCTTTATAAATTCCACTCTTTGGAGCAAGAAGCAAGGCAGACAAGACCTTGGTAATCCACTGTCAATCTCCAGATTCTCTCATCTTCCCACAGTCCTCACTCTGTTCTAGTTTTCACTTAACCTTCCCAAATGCCACAGCCATACTTCAGGACACTATTTCCTCTACTGGAAAGATGGCAAAGTATCATCAAGACCTTACTCCTATTTTGCCATCTCTTAAACCATTTCAGTTCCCTTGATCAAATAGACTGTACCATTTACTGAGACTACAGTACAATATACCATTCAAAACTGATTTTGAGTATTCATGATGTAACACAGACACTTGGTGCTCGAAGGTTTAATCAAGATTTTACTATCTTAAGTCAATAAAGTGAGGGCCTATGAGGTGTAGTCATCACTCTACTAATGTATAAAAATGTTGCATACATTTAGCCAGGTATGGTCATGCATTCCTTTAATCCTAGCACTCAGGAGGCAGAGGCAGGCTGATCCCTGTGAGGCAGAGGCCAGCTTGTTCTACATAGTGAGTTCCAGGCCAGCTGGGGCTACAGGGAGACCTTGACTCGAAAGACAAAAACAAAATAGTTTTGGTACATTTCTTATATTAATTAAGTCCTGAGTATCTACAAAAAGCCAAATTTAGTCTTGTTACCACTGCTAGATGGTTTTTAGACACTCTCCTTGCTAGCTTTGATAACAAGCTTACAGACAACATCAGAAATGAAGATCATTTCCTTTTAAAATATCTTGTGAAAACTTATTTAACCTTGGAATTATTATTCGTCCAAATTAGATAAATAGATAGACTTAACTTCTTAACATTATTAATGGCCATTTAGATGTTCCACTTCTTTGTTACCTATTTTTGCCATTAAAATTTTTGTGATTCTACTACTTAACATAAAATCTGATTTAAGAGGGAATTAAAGAGAGCATGGGAGAAGAGAGTAGTCAGTATGCATCATACAAAATATGAATTAAACAGTATGAAAAAATACATCAAAATTCTTTAAAGGCAGTATATAAATATTTATAACAAAAAAATTAATTTGTAACAAATAAATAGACACTACATAAGTCACAAATCAATTATCCAATCCTGCACCTTTTGAAAATTTCACATACATTCATAATAAAATTCAAAAAAGAAAAAAAAAGGGGGAGGTAAATGAGTGAGACAGCTTAGAGGGTAAAGGCACTTACCACCTAGCCTGACACCTAAGTTCAACCTTGGAACCCAAGTGGTATAAAGAGAGGATCAACTCCTACAAGCTGTTCTCTGACTTACATATGTGTGTCCCCATCCCCAAATAAGTAAATAAATAAATAAATAAATAAAATGTTTTTAAAGCATTTTTTAATGAATGAAGCAGGAAAAAGAGTCAGAGGGAAGAACCTCAACCTGACAAAGCAGCTCACAGCCACGAGCCTTGCTACCTCGGAGCTGTGGTCTCTCTAAGACACCTAAAGGGGAAAAGATGTCCACTCTCAGCACCTGTAGGACAATGATAGAAGCTCTGGCAGTGCAGGAGGGAAATTAAACAAACAAAAAAACTGATCAGAAAAGAAGTGAACTATCTGTGCAGGTAACATGGCTGCTTATGTAGAAAAATCTAAGGGATATATAAACAAATTGAAAAATGCATGAAGTCAGTAAACGTTACAAAATACAGGATAAACATACAAAAATGATTTCTATAAGCAATAAGCTACATACACTGAAATTAAAATAATTTTCACAACATATGTACATCTGTAAAAATATAATTTAGATGTACTTCTAGGGAGGGACAAAACATATACTGAGAGTACACATGACACTGATAGATATCAGAGTTGACAAAGTGGGGTGTCAGGTTTGGGGTTCAGGTGTAGGATGCTTTCATCACAAGCAAGAAGCCCTGGGTTTGAAGCCCAGTACCACATAAATAAGCACAATTTAAAACTGTAAAGAGGGTTACACAAAAACAATAAAATATACATTGAATAAATTTAAAAAGGGAGACACACATCTACCTCCCATGTTGTAAGAAACTTAAAATAGTAAAAATGACATTTCTCCCCAAGTTCATATGCAGTTTAACGAAAAACTCAGCAAGATACTTTTTGTAATATGGAAAATATCCTAAAACTTGTGCAGAGGAAGCAAAGAACCAGAAAAACTAAATACTTTTGAAAAAAGATGAACAAGTCTACCTGACTTCAAGACTTACTGCTCGGCCACAATAATCCAGATTGGGTTTCTAGGAGAGGGTCAGAGTGTGACAATGGTACAGAATGGAGAACCCAGAAACAAAGCCATATAGATATACTCAAATGATTTTTTACCAAAATGTGAAAACAGTTCAGTCAAGGAACGGCTTTCCCACAAACAGAACTAAACAAATGGACAACCATAGAAAAAGAAAGAAAGCGAGACCCTGAAGTCTCACACACCCTACGGAAATGAATTCGAAAGCATCATTAGGCCTGCCAGGTGGCTCACAGGGGAAGCACTTTCATTCTACGAAAGATCTTGTTGAGGGAACTGGAGAGACGGCTCAGTGGTTAAGAGCACAGGCTGCTCTTGCAGAGGACCTGGGTGCAATGCCCAAGCATCCAAATGGCAGCTAACAACTTTCCATAACTCCAGTTCCAGGGAATTCAATGCACTCTTCTGACCTCTGTGAGCACTGTAACATGGATGCACTTACATACATGTAGGCAATACACTCATATACTTAAAATAAATAAATGAATAAACATAAATAAATGAATAAATAAATAAATAAATGTATTTTTTAAAAGACCTTGTATTGTAGAGAGAAAGAAAAGTCAAAATAAAAATCGGGGAAAGTATTTGCAAACCACATATTCAGCAAAGGACCCAGATCTGGACAACTGTTTCCACCAGAAATGTAGGAGTTCTCCTTTCCTGAGACAATTCTAAAATACATTCTTGGTTTTGGTCATACAAATAATTGAGTTACATCCTCAAATCTGCAAAACAGAGCTTATGACTAAGAATTCTCTTGGGGAAAGTCCTTCACCTGTAGCAACAGCAAAACAAAAAAGGTCTGGCAGTCAAGTGTCCAGTTCATGAGCCTGACATCAATCCCCACATGGGAGCATGTCATCTGCTACTCAGGTCTTAGCAATGTGTCGTTGCCAACATGCACAACAGGTTAAAGCTAGATCTTAGGAGACCAGGGATGGGTAGGTGTCCTCAGGGTCAACGTCTACTTATAAATCCTGATGCAGTGACCGCTCTCATCATTCCTTGCCTCAGATTACTTTCAGTAATTTATAGACAAAACAGGTAAACTCATGAAACTATGCCTTTATATATTATACAGCACTTAACTGTTTTACATGGAAGTTACTTCTTTGCATTTAAGTAGGCCATACTGCCAGAAGTATAACCAAAATTTTGGTAAATCTAATCTGGAAGGGGCCTAGCACCTTATACACACAACACGTTTCATATAAAAATAAGAAAAGTCTGTCAGGTGTGGTATATACCATTAATATGAGCACTCAAGAGGCAGAGGCAGGTGGATCTCTGTAAGATCAAGGCCAGTTTGATCTACATAGTAAGCTGTGGCCTGCTGGGGACACAGGGAGAACCTGTCTCCAAAAAAAAAAAAGAAAAATCTATTCTTGCCATGTATTAGTAATGTGAAAAATTATTTATAAAACATTAAGCTTTGAGGCCTCTCTCAGGCCACGCCTTGAGGCACCCAGCCTAATTCATCCTCCCATCTGCCCGGCCCATCTTTCCTCTTACACTGGATCCTGTCCCATTCCTTGTCTTGGTGCCAGAGGCACTGGGGAAACCGCCATTGCTTCCTGATCCTTTGCATCCAGACTAATTCGGTTCCTTCTGGGGTCCCCAGGAGCACTCTGGGCCTGGCCCTGCCCTCACCTCCCTCTGCTTCCCTGGGCCTGCACCACCCACAGGCCTCTCCTGGGTACCTTGATGTCAACCTCGACTCCCCCAGCCTCATTCACCGTCCCATCTCCCCAGTGCATCTCTCCTCCTAGCCTGGAACCTGTCCCATTCCTTCTCTTTGCACCCCAAACAGCTGGGGAACCACCACTGCTTCCTGATCCTTTGTATCCAGATCAACCCAGTTCCATCTGGGGTCCCCAGGAGCCCTCTGGGCCCAGACCCACCATCACCTCCCTCTACTTCCCTGGGCCTGCACGACCCCCGCGCCCCAGCCTCTTTCCTGGATGCCCAGGTTGACCTTTCCTTTTCCTGATCCTGTGCACCCAGACCAACCCAGCTCTTCACTGCAGTCCCCA